CCCCCCCAGAGGCCCCTGTTTCTTTCAAGTAGTGATTTAAGCTTTCGTCATCTGGCTCTTCTGTGAGTTTCATATTCGTGTGGCTTCCGTGCTCTTGCATGTGTGTACCTTTTCTCCTGTTAATCTGTGTATTGTCATTGTGTTTTATAGAACCAAGTGTAGAACCTTCCATAGGTGGAAAGAAAGTGACGTAACCTCCCTATCTTAGTCACCTCAGGCTACTATAACAAAATACTACAGATTGGGTGGCTTAAACAACAGAAATTTATTTTCTCACAGTTCTAGATGCTGGAAGTCCCAGATCAGGGTGGTGCTGGCCCATTCTGTTCCTGGTGAGGGCTCTCTTCCCACCATGCAGACAGGAGCCTTCTTGCATGGCCTTTCTCACATGGCCTTTCTTCTGTGTATGAGTGGGAGAGGGGAAGGGGGGGAGTGTTTTCTTTCCCGTTATAAGAAGATCAACCTCATTGAATTAGGGCCCCACCCCTAGGGTTGACTTCATTCAATCTGAATTACCTCCTAAAGCCCCCATCTCCAAAATTAGGGCTTAGAGCTTCAATATATGAATTTGTGGAGTCACAGTTCAGACCCTAACACTCCCTTTGACTCAGTGTCCTCTTTTGTAAAACTGGAAAGACCCTCTTCCCAGCATGTGGGCCTTAAAGAATATCAAGGGAGAAACAGAAGGCATGAGCAGGTTTCTCCAGGACAAGCACCCTCATCTTCAAGGTATTCTTCATTCTATATGGACCCCCAGGGTCACAAGATGCCCATATCCCGAAGAACATGAAAACTTCACACACACACACATGCACACACATGCACTCACACAGGCTCCCTTTACCCCTTCTGGTAAACCTTGGTTCCCATAGGCCTCAGCTATGGCCTCTCCTAACCCCACGCCTCTCAAGAGATCAATCACAACCTCACCTTCTGCTGCAGGTTCTCGTGGAGCTGGGTCAGCTTTGCGAGCTTCCTTTCCAGCTTCCCTGCCTGGGACCTTAGCTCTTCTGCAGACTCTGTTCTTGCTCCCTCCTGCAGTTGCTTCCAGTCCTTCCAGAGAGCAGCCAAGTCCTGGCCAAGGGAGAAGGTGGCCATCGCACCTCCCAGCATGCGAGCATTTTTGGTCATCACCAGTGTTGTACCCTCAAAGGCCTTTTGCACCTGCCTGCTCCTTCGGGCCGAGACTTGGCCAGTGGTCAGGAGACGCTTGGCGGCTTTGGCCAAATGCGGGTGGGCCCTGGCTGTCCGAAAGGCACGGATGTTTTTCTTGACATCCCTGATGGTGCTTCCACAATTATAGGCAATCTGACTGGCAGCCATAACATAGGATGCTTCCTTTCCTCCAGCCACCCTGACCTCTTGGTCAAGGGTGGGCACTAGGCTGCTGGCCTGAGCTCGGGCTTTTTTATTGTGAAAGTGCTCCCATGCACTGGTCATGATACTGGTGACCCCAGCTGCTGTCCCTAAACTTTGACCAGCGGCCGAGAGCACCAGGCTTCCTCCTGCTGTTACTGGAGCTAGGGCTAAACCTAGGACACTCATAACTCCAGAGAAGACGGTGACAGAGTTGGCCACTATGTTGGTCTTGGTGAATGTTTTGTGGATTGTGTCCATGTGGTCTGCAAGGGCACGGAGCTTTCTAATGTTCACTTCCAGATCCTGTTTCAATCTGGGAAACTCCTCCAGAAATATTTTTTCTTCGGCTGACAGATCTCCATCTGGTAGCTCCGCATCTTCACACAGAGAAATGTCATCCTCGTCCCTGTGGGAGAGTGAAGTAAAGATTTTGCTTTGACCTCCCGGGTGGGAAGGCCCAGCTCTTCATCAGGCCCATGTGGCTTCTGGATGTTCTTGCCACTCCTGACTTCGAATCCTCCCTGCATCTCCCTAAAGAGTCCCCTGAAAAGTCCCAGAGCGTCATTGAGGAATTCAACCTTCGCAGAAAGCTACTGGTTCCATGAAGGGAAGAAACATGGAAGAGGAGCATCTGGAGGGACAGAGGGAAGTAACCTTAGCCTTGGCTAAAGAGCTGGGGAAGGCAGCTTAGTCTCGAGAAACGTTCTCAGCCTTGTCCAGAGAAACTACAGCACTGGCATGGGGGAGGGGCAGTGGGGAAATGCTAAGGTCCTGCTCAAGATGAAGAACTTGGGACCAACGCGGGGAGAGATCTAGAAAAGGTAGGAGGAGGAGACCGGGTGTCGGGTGGGGGTTGGGAGCCCTACACCTGTCGGGATGAGTCAGAGGCAAGAGGGGCCGTGTGTATAACACATCCTCCACCTACATGACCTTGAGTTTGGCTCCTGTGGGTGTGCCTTACTTTCTATCAGGAGTTGCACATCGAGAGGGTCAAGATAAATTATTACTCATGTTCTGCATGTGTTCCTTTCCCTGGGCCAGCTCTACCTGACTTCCAAAGCAGATGGGACAAAGAGACCCAGGTTTCTCTTCCCCCATCACCTCACAGGACAAAGTATTGAGGGATCTTTGCCAGCCCGGTTGAGTTTGGCTTTCATGGGAGAGCAGCAGCAGGTAAGAGCAAAGCCTGCTCCTCCGGGCAGTTTCTTGCAGAACGTGCCATGGGTGCATTTCCTTCAAGGCAAGCTGAGGAGGCCTGAGCATGACACAGATGCCCTGGCCCAGAGAAGAGGGTCAGAGTAAAGGAAAGCCACCTCCTTTACTTCTCAGTGGAGGGACATGAAGCCCAAAGAGGAGAAGGGACTCTCTGAAAGGGACGTGTGAGGTAGAGGTGGAGCTTTGGGTGGGGCTCAGAGCCCCAAGACGGAGGACTTTCTGCTCTTCCTCTTATTGGTCAGTTGATGCCAAGACTTCCTCATGGAAGTGTATGTAGGTGTGGAAATATGTTTATCTTTAATAAATCTCTCTACACACACACGCACGCACACACACACTCACACACGCACACACAGTTCCTCAGTGGAAAAAGTTGGAAACAAAAGTGTGGAAATATGTTTATCTTTAATAAATCTCTCTACACACACACGCACGCACACACACACTCACACACGCACACACAGTTCCTCAGTGGAAAAAGTTGGAAACAAAAGATAGCACCAAGGAAACCCTTTAGTGTTAATGAATTAATAAATTTAGGCCCCCTTATCAGTTAATCAGCGATGGAAATCGATTAACAGTGCAGAAGGTCACTAGGGGCTGGCAGTGGGGAAGGGGCAGGATGAAGGCAAGAAGAGCGACCTTGCTGAAAAACCCCAAACTTTACAGATGTCACAGTGTAGCCCCGCTGATCTCTGTTTCCTCGAGGCATGTAAGCACAAAGACAAACAGCAAATACTCAGACATGAAGCGACAAGGATCAACAGCGCCGTTGTATACTAACTGTGAAGTTTGTTTTTAGCTTGGTTAATAGCTAACGGAAGCCTGGCTTCGTGTGTTTCTTAATTAAACCAAACGTCTCAGATGTGGACATCGCTGCCCAAGTACCTCTGTATGAGGTGGCGATGTCTCCTGGCTTAGGTTAAGACTGTAATCTAGTCCCATGAGATACTGCACGTGTAGTTCACTTAACCTATTTGGTAAGCAAATGTTTGTTGCTTGCCCACATTGTGCTGGAGGCTAGTGGTGCTACATCTGCTGAATAATAATTGGGCTTAAATTAATTAAACTGTTAACACTAAAGGGCTTCCTTAGTGATGTATCAGCCAAAAAGGCTGAGTTCCTACCTTCATGGGACCCACAGAGATGAGGCCCCAGAGTGGGGCAATTCATGTCCGTAGAGTCCTATAGCCCAACGCATGCACCTGACTAAATCTTGACTTGCTCTCCAAAATAGTTAGTTCAGCCCTGTGGAATATTTCTTTTCCCTAGAGGGACATATCTCCATATGCATAATTGAGACCAATGGGAAGACAAGGCCCACTTCACAGCTAGTGCTACTGAGCACATTTTTTCCTTATTGTGAGGGTACCTGCTGCAATTCAACAGAACCAGCTCTTCCCCCAGGGACCAAGCTCTTTGGGTTACCTTTGCAAACCAACACTGGCCTCCCGTTCTTTTGCTGCCTGGTTGTCCAGGAGCCTCTGTGGCACCAAATCCATGTCCCCAAGAGTCAAATGATTTTCTGGTTGAAAATATTAAAAATAAGGTTACTACACTTACCATGAAACATATAAAATTCAAGTGTACAGGGATTTTAGATTATGTGGAATCAAAATAATAACGGAACACTTATAATGTACTAAATATTGTCAAACTATAGTTTTTAAATTTTATATGGAGGTGTAGCTTACATACTATAAGTGCACAAATTGAAGTACTCAGCTCAATAAATTCTGACGTCGATGTTGGAGGGTAGCAGAATATGCCAACCCCAAATATGCCACTTTGGCATAAGGACTATTTTGACCTTAAAGGCTACTGAGAAGAAGTGCATAAAAGAAAAGTTCTGTGTCCTCCCCTTTTTGTCTAAAAGTGGGACATAAATTACATAGGTAAAGGTGTCCCTCCTCTCCTCTCTACCAAGAAGGACAAAGTTTCATCACTGCAAACAACTTTAGACCCTTATCAGCACCAGAAGAATCTACACTACAAACTCACTAACTAGCCTTTACCTACCATTAGTTCCCCATTTATCGGTCTTCCCACAACTTGCCACCCCTGCAGACTTAGTCCCTTTTCCTTTGTCTTGTCACTTCTCTAAAATTGTATTGTTCTTTGTTGATTCCTGGGTGTCTCCCATGTACAGAAAAGATTTACATGTTAATAAACTTCTGCTTGTTTTTCTCTTGTTGATCTGTCTTGTGTTACAAGGGTTCCAGCTGAGAACTCAGAAGGCTAGAGGGAAAATGATTTTTAATTGTCTATGCCCAAGTCAAGATCTAAAACCACCCAGATCAAGATGTAAAACAGATTTCCTTGTAGCCCCTCCCAGTCAATTCGGATCTCTATAATCACTGATTAGTTTGTTTAAACTAATGTGTTTCCTTGTGTTTTTAAATAGCTGGGTCATTTTGCTTCCCGTCTTCTCTTACAAAGACATCACTGGATTCTGCTCTAGTACCAGTGGGAATGGCTGGGAGGGAAGGACGCAGCCTACCTTGGCAGGGTGGAGATATCTCGGTTGTCATAATGTTCAAAAAGGTGTCTTGATTCTTCTCCATGTTGAGAATGACAGGGTGCCCTGGCTGGGAAGAGACGTTTGAGCTTCTAAGGAGAAAATAGGCCTTTCATTAGTGTGGAGACAGCATGTTAAAGTGGATTCAAAGCCCCGCTCTATCACTTACTTACCACTTCTGTGATTTTGAAACATTTAACGCAGTTTCCCTTTCCTTATCTGTGAAATAGCTAGTAAAACACCTAGCTCAGTTAGTGTCAAGGAGCAGTGGTTTCTGCATTTTTCATAATTATAGTTAGTATAAAAATACTCCATTAAAAGAAAAGAACTCTCAGATTGGGTCAGAAAGCAAACCCCAACTATATCTTCTTACTAGAGAGACTTCTGAAACAGTGACTTAAAAAAAAAGCTGAAACTAAAAGGATGTGCAAAACCCTAAGAGGCCGGGAAGTGGCGGTGGCTGAAAGGGGGATCCTTGTGGTGGGACAGTGTGTGTCTTCACTGGTGGTGGTCACACGAGTCTACTCCCTTATGCCTTCGGGGGGGCGTGGTCCTGGTGACATCTGGATTTTGGACATCTAGCCTCAGTGGCTGAAAGGGGGATCCTTGTGGTGGGACAGTGTGTGTCTTCACTGGTGGTGGTCACACGAGTCTACTCGTGAGAAAAATCGCAGATAACTAAATGTGTGCCTGCACACACGCACACAAACAAGTGCACACAAAACTGGTGAAGTCTGAACAAGGTCAGTGGTTTGTGTCAGTCAGTTTCCTGGTTATGATATTGTACTACAGCTGTACGAGATGTCCCCACTGGGGAAACTGGGCAGTGCGTGTGTGAGGTCTGTCTGTATTATTTATTACAACTGCATGTGAATCTACAATTATCTCAGAATAAAAACTAAAAAAAAGCATAGCAGCAAATACAGAAAAGAAGAATTGTAGCATCATTCATAGTAAAAAACAAAAAGAAAAAGAAAAAGTCTAAAAGCCAACCAGTTTTCCATTTCAACCGGACTGGTTAAATATGCTGTGGCTCATCAGACAATGAAAGAGCATGCAGCCGTTAAACCAGGCAAGGCAGACCCGTATGGACAGATGTGGCAGGGTCCCCACAGACAGTGGTAGAGGTAAAAGGGCACAAAGAAGATTTATGTGATTCCATAGATAAGAATCTAGTACACTGAACGGATTGAGGGTCAGGAATGGGGGAAAGCCTGCTTTTCGCTCTATTCCTTTGATTCTTTTTTTCTTTTTTTGGTGGCTGGCCAGTGCGGGGAGCTGAACCCTGGACCCTGGTGTTATCAGCGCTGTGCCCTAACCAACTGAGCCAACAGGCCAACCCCGCTTTGATACTTCTTGCGTCAATACTTTCTGCCATGTGACAAACAATTCTAAAGACTGTCCCGTGAGGTGGTTTGAATTCTGCACCCACAAAATTCACATCCACCTGGAACCTCAGAACGTGACCTTATGTGCAAACAGGGTCTTTGCAGATAAAATTGGTCAAGGATCTCCAGATAAAATCAGCTTGGGTTTTGGGTGTAGGGTGGGCCCCAAATCCAATGACTAATATTCTTACAAGAAAAGGAGATGACACAGAGAGGCCATGTGAAGACAGAGGCAAAGGTTGCAGCTGTGCTGTCAGAAGCCACCAGAAGCTGGAAAAGGCGAGAAAGGATTCCTCCCTTATGCCTTCGGGGGGGCGTGGTCCTGGTGACATCTGGATTTTGGACATCTAGCCTCCAGAACTGGGAGAGAATAAACGTCTGCTGCTGTCATAGCCACTCCGTTGTGGCGCTTTGTTACAGCAGCCACAGGAAGCTGATAGATCCCCTTTCCTCTCTTCCCCTGTATTTGGTACTCGGTCCTAGAGCTTATGGCAAAAATGATCGTTTCTAGATATGCTTTCTCTTTCATGGTCATCTTCTCTTTCCTCATCCTCTCCCCTTTCTACTTCTAAAAACATGGGAAAAATATCCTGGGCCGGCCAGTTGGCTCAGTTGCTTACAGCGTGGTCACCAAGGTCAAGGGTTCAAATCCCAACACCGGTCAGCTGCCCCCCAAAATAAAAATAAAATAAAAATAAATCTCCAGGGCTGGCCCGGTGGCACACTGCTATGGTGCGCCGCTTGGGAAGTGCGGCGGCGCTCCCGCCGAGGGTTCGGATCCCA